TGACCTGCTATGTCAGGGACAGCGGGAGTCCACACCACAGCCCGCTGACCCTTGGCCAGGCCAAAGTTCACTCCAATTCTCCCCTTTGCACCCCGTACCTGGTTCCGTGGCAGGTCCTCCAGGCTACATGGGTTGGGATTCTATGGCCACATAAGCAGTCCCGCTTGGTAGTCCTCCAGCAGTGGGCCTGGCGGCCCAGGCCAGTTGCTATGTCAGGGACAGCGGGAGTCCACACCACAGCCCGCTGACCCTTGGCCAGGCCAAAGTTCACTCCAATTCTCCCCTTTGCACCCCGTACCTGGTTCCGTGGCAGGTCCTCCAGGCTACATGGGTTGGGATTCTATGGCCACATAAGCAGTCCCGCTTGGTAGTCCTCCAGCAGTGGGCCTGGCGGCCCAGGCCAGTTGTTCACTTCCTCCGGCTCTGGCTCCAGCTTCAGCTCTGGTTCCTCAGCGGGTAGGGCTAGGGAGGCTTTGGGCTCCCTGACTTCCTTGGCCTGCACTGGCCCTTCAGGCAGCCCTTTTATATCCCTGGGCCCACCCCCTGTCTCCTTCCCAGGTGCCTCATTTATGTCAGGTGCTGCCCACCACAGCTCAGGGAGGGCCGTTTCCCCCTTGGAGTCAGAGGGTGTCCACACCAACCTGCTATAACCTTGTTCTACAAGGAATAAGGGCTTCTCCAAAAGAGGAGGCTTTTCTGCCATTTGGCCCCGTCTAGACAGGGCCAAATGGTGGAAAAGCCTCTTTTGGAAAAAGCTATGCAAATTGCAGAGCGCATTTTGCGTAGCTATTTCCGAAAAAAACCTATAGTGTAGACCTTTTTAGCCATGATCAGTTTATAATGCATATTAAGAAGTAACCCCACAACATAAGTGTGTATTAAAATCGTGGAGGTTTATTCAAGAAACATTTTGGAATAGTTTATTTGTGACCTGAAAACCATTGTGGATACTATAGATGCATAAAATGATCATAACCTCAGATGTTAGTAATAAATAAATGTTTGTATGCATGCTTATGTGCAATTTGTTTTTATTCTTTACCGCCTACCTAGAAAAAAGCATAAACTAAATACTCTGGTTTCAGCTTCACTACTAACTTAAACCCAACCAAATACATTTTGATAAATATTGAGAAAATCTTCCCAAGTGAAATATTTGTATGCTTGATCTCTGTCCTTAGCACATTTTTATTCTCATGTTAAGATTGTATACACGATTGTATACATATTGGGTTCCTTCTCTTTTTACTTACTTTCATAAGCAGAATAAGCATAAATTGTCCTGGATGATAGCAAAATTCTGGATGATGATAGGTCATTGCTTGACCTTTCCTAGTGAGTAAAGAAGGTTCCAGCACTTGTACTCTCTCAACTGAACCTTTGAAAGCAAATTCCTATGTAACCAGGGAATATAAATTGCTTTTATATGAAATCTTGAAAATGTATGTGTATAGAAAGGAGGAAGTGGTTGATGCCACAATAGTTTAGTTCACCACCTCCATCTGAAGACCAGTTGCAAGTGAAAAGTGAGGTGAGGTGGCCTTATGCAGGTCTGCTGACATCTGAGGCTGGAGTCCCGGACCCTTTAAATCACCGATTGAGCCCTAGGCGGCATGCTCCGTCTGGCTTTAAGGGCTGGCTCGGCGGGGGGGGGAGGTGGGCAGAGCTGAAGACTGTTGCCCTAGCCCTGCCCCTCTTAGCAGTGGTGCTACCCCTTCCTGGAGCTTGGAGCCAGCCCCACCAGTTAGCAGGACTGATGATCTTTGCTCATTCAAAGTCCAGGACTGGGAATATCCACAGTGCTTGCCTGTGTGTGGCTTGCACAGGTACTATCGATCCTTCACTTTTATATATGGTAAAATCATTCACACAGTTAATTAAATAGGAAGGGGGGAGGTGAAAGAGAAAATGTTATGTTTTAACTGGCAATATCAGACCCTTATTTGGAACATTACTAGTGAATACAGCTGTAATAGTGTACCTTTCAAGTAGAATCTCATTTTTATGATTGATGTGGGTTTTTTCCTCTTCTTTTGAATTTGTTCAGTGCAAATTGATACTTACTTAACCTGGGGATAAGTTTTCAGGGGTGACAGGATGTATCATATAAGCTTGTGATGTAATGCTGGTTTTACAGGTTTCCATTGCAATTATACACTGTCCTCAGGGCAATCATGTTTTCCATGTATGCCAAAAGCATACAGATGTGTGCTATACTAGTCTCTTCCACTGTGCAAAACACTTCTTTGATATAGATTTATACCTGTAGCAGTTCATTGCTATTAGATAATCCCTGGCTAATGCCACTGTTGTTGATGGTCTCTTTATATTTTCAGTGCTGCTCCCCAAGAGCAGTAATGCTTCTGTGAAAATTTGTTCTTGGATGAAAAATGAAATCTTTGCCTTTTTGAAGGGCAACTTTCTATGTTGCAGTACTAGGTAGAACTCACCAGGGACTAAGGTACAATGCTTTTATAGGAGGTCACTGCAAAAAGAAGGGAGAATAGACAGAGATGTGCTGGCTTGAGATATTTAGTAACAAAATAGTCTATAAATATCCAAGATAACATCATTGTTCACTTAGAAAAAAATTCTAGATTTGGAGAATTATATATGAATATACATGCACTTTACTTAACGGGGAAATATGCATGTGGTATCTCTGAAGAATAGTAAGTTACTATGTCTATTCAGTAAATTTCCTCATAAATTCTTGCATTTCGAAGAAGGTAACTGAGGATCTTGCCTTGAAATTGAACTGAAAGAAATTTTGTAGCAAACCTTATCTAAAGTAGCTTTGCAAACTACTTTTGTCCTGGTACATGAGTTTTGTTGTCATCTATTTCATGTATGTTACTAGGGCTCATCCTGGATATATCTAAGGAGATTGGTTGTGATGTCACATGAAGAGATGTGTCAATTTTTTTCCCAAGCTCTGGCCCCATTTGTTGCCAGAAGTTCCGAAAATCTGTGCGTCCCTGTAACGTATAGTGATAGAGTGATCCTCCTTGGTGCCAGCTGAAGAGTTGATGGGTAAACATTATAAGGTGCAACTTTGTAGTATGTGTAAGTTCATAAGTGTGGACAATATTATTTTAGTCTTTTTGACTAAATGTGTTTGGTTGGCAGAACTATTAGGCTGAGTTTTGGAGGGGTAGCCATGTTCATCTGTAAGTAAAAAACCTTAAAAACGATGAATAGTCCTCCAGTACCTTAGGGTATGTCTACACTACCCCACTAGTTCGACCTAGCGGGGGTAATGTAGTCATCCGCAGTTGCAAATGAAGCCCGGGATTTGAATTTCCCGGGCTTCATTTGCATGAAGCCGGCCGGCGCCATTTTTAAATGCCGGCTAGTTCGGACCCCGTGCCGCGCGGCTACACGCGGCACGGACTAGCTAGTTCGGATTAGGCTTCTAATCCGAACTAGCTGAGGAACGAGGTGTACAGCTAGTTTGGATTAGAAGCCTAATCCGAACTAGCTAGTCCGTGCCGCGTGTAGCCGCGCGGCACGGGGTCCGAACTAGCCGGCATTTAAAAATGGCGCCGGCCGGCTTCATGCAAATGAAGCCTGGGAAATTCAAATCCCGGGCTTCATTTGCAACTGCGGATGACTACATTACCCCCGCTAGTTCGAACTAGCAGGGTAGTGTAGACATACCCTTAGAGACTAACAAAAATGTAGATGGTATCATGAGCTTTTTTGGGCACAACACA